GTGCAATACCTCCTTGACCATAAGTATTATAAGAAGCTTGACATCCTTGACGCCGAAGGCCTATTCGAGCACTTGTTGATCGATTCGCAAATGAGCCCCCACTTACAGGCGTCGAGGATCAACCAGGCCATCTCAACGGTGCAATTGTTCGTCCAGCGGTGCATGCTCGGCCTCGAAAAGACAATCGACAGAGAAGCGAAATGCGTCGGCGTTTCTGCCACCCAATGGAAACACATGTCTAAGTACACGCTGTGGGAGGCCAGCCGAAAGTTGTTTCTGTACCTAGAAAATTGAATAGATCCCACCATCCGCGACAACAAGACAGGGCGTTTCAAAGCCTTTAAAGCCAGTATCATGCAGAGCAACCTCGACATGCAAAAGATCAAGGATGTCATATCATCATATATTAAAGGTTTTCATGAAGTATCAAGTTTCGATGTTCGTGCCTACTATCACGAAAACATTGACACGGATCGCTCGCAGTACCACTTTCTCCGTAGAACTCGGCAGGCTTCTTTCGTCTACTTTTATAGCAACTTACAAACAAGATTCCACAATTCCACACACGGTCACCTTGGGGTAAGCTTGAGGCGGAGATCCCCTCCGTGGAAACAGCCGCCGGGTTCCTGGTTGCTATCTAGTGCCCACAGTCGTGAATGGCCGTTTATTCCTATGTCTTCCTCATTTTATGCTGCAGACTAAGAGATCAATGGAAGAAACAGGATCTCTTGACTTTAACTCAAAGTCGGACAAATCAGTTTAGGTTGAAGATCCTGCAAAGTACTAGGAAGTCAAAAGGGCTAGACTAAATACCGCAATAGAAGGTAGACGGCGAAATCCGTTTCTCCGTCGATTTTAGATATCCCAGGCCTTGGCTCGAATGAGACTCCGCCTCCCCTTTCCAGCTTACAGTTCTTTGTTGACAACATCTCTGTAAGATATTGGGAGCATGAACTGGGGACAACCAACCACGTGGTGTTGATCGATGTGAATTGTCGTTGAACAATGCGGGGGAATGACTGGGAATTTACCGACGGCCAGACTGATGTAAACTTTCAACAGAATCGCTCCATTTCTGGTCATCTAAAGATCCGAGACACTCAAGTCACAGTCAAACCTATATCTAAAGGCTTCAATCCCAATACAGCCTTAAAGCCTGGCCCTTCGGCGATCCAATACGAGACTTTTAGCAACAATATGGAGCTGGCACATGGTGAAATCCCTGATCAAACTATTCCTATCCATTTTTCCAAGCTCCGAAAGATGTCAAATGATGCGCAAACACCTTAAGCCGTCGCAGATATTTGTCGCCGTAAGGTCGGAATGCGAAAAGTCAACAGGCTAAGCATGGGAGTTGGAACATCTCTCCTCCAACGATAGTTTGATTGGGCCAAATCATACCAGGACATTCGCTCCGCAAACTATCGAGGCAGTCACTCATGCAAAGCGCACAGCCTATTTTGTACGCTCTGTAAGTCTGCCTGAGAATAACGTCGAATGTAAACCTTTAAGTTTCGACAGCTCCTACGCCACGCGCCCATGTAACGGAGCATCTCAGGGGTTGCCGAACTGGTCTACTAGTATATGAGCACGTCAGTAGATGCTGGCTATCTTAACAACGCCTTTGATGGCTTGGCCTCTGGGTACTATGAACAAGTGACTCTTTATGCATTGTACGCGTGGGAGCTGGGCATGCATGCCGTTACATTTTTTGATAGAGTGCCTCCTCTCGACGCAGCAATCTACACTAGCAGTGACTTTGAGACGTCTTGTATTCGACCCAAGCGTTGAGGTGAAAAGAGCTGAGTCGTTGCTGGCGGGTATACCCTGTACCGACGTGTCCTAAGGCGGTTTGAGTTCGTTACGGCTCAGCTGAATACCCTTGAATGCGCGAAATATTTTTAAATAATTAGACTTCATACCGATCATGACGAGCATATTACACAGTGGGAAGAGCATTCCTTAACTCCTCATGGCGTTGCGGGCGACCGCCCAATCGTCTACATGAAGCGATTTATCATGAAATATACTGAGATCTTATTGGCTAGTGGTGACCTGTACTTTCGATAATACAGTCTGTAATTCATTCCATTGGCAACAGAACATTATGTTGAAGCCTTACACCTATTTGGGCCGACATTACAGCAGATTCACTAGCTCGGCCGCTTTCAACCCAAGAGTTTCAACGATTTCGGGAATTATGCCGACGCCTTCTCCAATGCTAAAGTGAACATGAAGCTTGACTTTTCCCATTAAAGCCAGCCATGTTACCGATGGTCGAAGTAGACAGGCATCGAGTCAGTCGGCAGCACACAAACGACGCTCACGGGTCTGGTTCGGTCTCGTAATTTTGCCGTCCTAGCCAAATCAAAAATCAATCGACTTCTAAATCTGATAGGTGATCGATTTTATAAGGGTTAAAATGCTTTTGATATATATTGAAATCCACCAGCTTTTCATTATTTTACACACCGCTTTACCACGGTCTGCTCGCTCGGATCCAGGCGGCCGGTCTACCTCCTTCGGCAAGCTTGAACGACCTTTACGTGCGCTTGCCTAACTATCGATTCAACTACCTGCTGCAAGAGGCATTCAAGGTCTGTGCCGAACTCAAAAGCCCCAGCGATCAGTTCCTGATTGTGGAGGAAAAGAAAAACGCTAAGGGCTTGCGATACAAGAGTTCCTAGTTAATAATAGCTTGTTGCCCATCTGAGAACTGCAAAAAACGGCTTACATTACAGCTCAAATCCTTTGTGTTCACATCGCACAGAGTCGGTGATAATGCTGTTGCAGGCAGTGGAAAGCGGACTAGGCGCCAGATACACCAATTCAGCCACTTAGAGATTTGATAGAACCTGTGCCTTCGTCCACCTTTTTAGCCGACAACCACATGTAACCTGTAGGGACGAACCGGTCTAGTATCCGGTATCTTGGCACTTACTCAACTCAGTACATCGCACTTTCTTTTGACCGTCATGGAGATGCTGCAGCCCAAGAAGCCTCGCATCATCGCTTTCAGTCGCGACGTCATTACCATAGAACCTTCAAACATTCGTCCCTGTCGTCTAATTACTGGACCTCAAAATCGCTTAATATAACTAGCGCCATAAGGCAATTCCAAGAACCCCAAAATTCCCATATTTAAATTTGCTACCCTTATCGGGCGGGTGATCAAGATATGTGGGTCATCCTATACTGCTAACTTGCCCTGCTCGGTTTAGGGGGTTGGAATCTGCTCATCGATTTAATACGGCTTAGACGCAAGAGAAACTCATTCTCGTGATGTTAGACCTCCAAAACGTCATGCTAAGGCAGAAATGAGGTATCGAAAGACAAAAGGGCGCTTTAGAAGAATTACCAGAATTTACTTGTCTGTTACTTTTCCGGCTTCGTTTTTACCCGTGAAGTCCGTCGGTGGGTCCCGGAATGTGGGGGCCATGCAGCCGGAATACCCGACCGCCCTTTATTTCCAGTCATCCAAGCATTTTTCGAAGACTCAAATGTAAAAACCACTGTAATCCCTTTCGGTCGGTTGTTATTGCTAGTCTGATTTCCATACGTTGTAAATAAATACGAAGCTGTGGAAATCGGACCCCGAAAACGAAGATCCTAACCTATTTGCGCTTATTCCCTCCCCAGTTTCACTTGTCGATACTTTCTTTATATAGATTAGCAGTCGATACAACAAAGCCTACAATCCTTTTGACTTTACTCACTTAGATGAAAGTCATAGCTTAGCGAGATATCCACTGGCACGGGTTAACCTCTTGGTTACTTTCATGACTCAATCCAGTCCTGGGATCAGTCCTCCGAGTTGAGATGAACACAACGCATCACCCACAGCCAAGCTTATGTTAAGTGGAGGAAATGAACTGGTTTTAACCTTCACCCCACTTGTGCGATTCATTTCTCTCGGAATAACCTACCACTTCAGACAGAAGCAGGTTACGAAAAGGGTAGCTACTCTTTTGTCCCAACTGGGTAAGATAAATACTACTGCTACGTCGATTAGCTTCCTTCGAGGTGTTACCTCTTTGTAGTACGAACCTCGCTTTCGATTAAGGGAGGGAACTATGGGAAGCGCAATTATGCTTTAATTAGTCAGTACTGCTAATGTTAGATAAACGATATTAGTTTGATGCAATACACCTGGGGTTCATTGAGCAAAGAGTGATTCATGTTGTTGATTGAGTGATTCTACCCATTCCGGTTGAAGCGGGGTTCTGTTTTGTATCTACCCGTTCTTCCCGGTTTCAGCATATTGCAAGAATGCAACTAAGCTAGATTTCCTAGCATTTTATCCGGACGCAGGCGTCAATCTAACAGCTAAAGTCCTGCATCGATAAGAAGTCAGCTGTTTTTACACTTAATTGCATTTTCTAAGACCGATTAAATCCTTAAGCTCCACTTCTTAACCTTCTAAGAGTGCTAGCTGTGCGTAAGGCTATACTACGGTGAAAAGGGTATTGGCTTACGTAATAAAATGGATCCATCACAAAGGCGCACGAGTTCGATATTATGCATGAAGTTTGCTGTAGAGTCCCGTGTTGTTTCATAATTGATAGAAATAAAGACCTCGGAATTTTCGGTACCTAAAAGGTGGAGTCGACTCTTGTCGTTATATCGTGAAACCTGTGTACATCGGGCTACAGCAAGATTTCTATGATGTGACTGTGTACACAGTAGGTCAATTTACCTACCCAATACGGCTAGTCCAGGCAATGCAGCGGTTCCATCACCGATGGCATAGCGGTTTCTGTATGGAGTAAAGAGAGCTTCATCATTTTGTAGACTTTCCTCGTGAGACGAAGAGATGAGGCTCATTGTTTATGCTTTCTCTACCCTCATGATTAGATTAATTTCTATCTTGGCATCCGAAGATCCCGTCTGACTCTCATTCTCATCTTCAAATGTATTTAAGCCAACACTCATTCTTAATCAAAAGTACCTTTCATCTTATCACTTCATCACACAGCTCCACATCAGTCCTTATCGCAACAATGCAGTTCCTTAACGCAATCCTCATCTTTGCCTCCCTCGCAGTTGCTGCGGATGCGGCCGCTATTGAGTCGAGAGCCGCTCCTAGCCCGTGCTACTCTAACCAGAAGTTGACCTGGAACACTGGCCAGATCCCCGGCGATGGTGGATGGATTGTGAGTAATTCTCTGCATATACCACGACTATTACTAATAAATGTGATTTCAGTGCTACGAAACCCCATCCGGACCCTGCACGAAATACTCCTGGAAGACGGACCTTCCTTACTACAGCGTAAGCACCAAATATGTCTCTTTTTACATTTGGATTATGTCTGCTAACTCTGGTTGGCTTTTAGTGCACCTAAGCTCGTCGCTCTTTTTGTCGCGGTTTGTGTGGTTAGATACGACTTTCCTAGTTGCACCCTGAGCTGGTAAAGATATCAATCGGTACTCAGGTTCACTTCAGCGTTTCGCACCGATATTCCATTGTATCATTATTTAGAGGTACTCAGCCTAGCGGTGTCAGGCTCCTTGAGTAGTCTGTTATCCAATTATCTCTGATCACTCTAAACCTCTTGTTGGCTTTTTAGTCAGGGAACATTGAACTTTCAAGCGCTACCCAAGTGACTGAATCTGATCGAAATCTTTGAAATCCGCTTGCAATTCCATTTCTATTCTTTCTTCGGCTTTCTCCCATGTAAAAACGAACATCTAATATCAATCAGGTAGAAGCTTTCTCTACCTCCACCTACTTTTAGTGGTTTAGGCAGTGATGTGCGTTTCATATAAAGGATTCCCTGCACCAAAACTCCCGGTAACATTAACAACCATTACACAGGCCATGATGAAATGTGTGCCCCTCCTAGCAACAGTGGGTTTCTGGCAAGGATGCATCCTTGGTTTAATTTCACAAGGAGGTGTGTTATGCTTAAATACAAGACTGAATCGTTGGCGATTGCTTTGCAATGAAATCCGAGAAACCAAGCTAGAGGGGAACAAATCCAAGTTATAGCCTGTTCAATCGCGTTGGATAGCTGCTTTATCAACTCTGTGGCTACAAGCCCTTTGTCTGCCTTTCGCAGAACCCCTTAGCTAAGCCTGAGATTCTGTTCTGTAACATATCGTTGGATGACACATGATAGTATCCAACCAGCAAACCAAGTTTGATAAGGGCATCATACGTTCTGGACTTGGCCTTTGTAAATTCAGCGTGGACATCTGGGTCTTGATTGTCGAGTGCAAGTTTGACACCTAACATTGTAGTTGGAGCTACATCTGGAAGCAGCTAAATGGTGAAGGATGTGACAAGCTAGGTACTGGCGGCTCCAAAGGCTGTAGGATAGAGCATCTGTCTGTCTGGATCTCAAGTGAGACGCTTCAACAACAAAAATTGTCTATATCATAGTTATAGATACTCTCCCATATAGCGCATTAGATTCACGAGGAAAGCGCCCGGCGAAATCTGTTTATTTGAGAACACTCACAATACTTAGAAGCCAAATACGCAGAATGAATAGAGAAGGCTTTGGGGGACGGGATCAGCAGAAAGACCCAATGATGAAGAAGAGAGAATTTTAGAGAAGATCGGAGGACGAGGTGCAATTTTGACCGGCGCAGTGGCTTGGGTGGGGCAAGAACCGAGGTTTAAAGCATCCCATTACCGTCGGAGACGCTCTGCCGCGACGATGAGCGAAAATGTTGACCAGGGCCAGTCAGTGCGAGTGAGTGATAACTTTTGTCCCGCGAGTGCTCTTGACGACGTAGGTCAATGCGACAATTATTACGGCTAACTGTCTTTGGTTTCGGAAGATGCATTTGAAGCGGCGCGCAAAATCAAAAGTCTCTCCAGACCAGAATTTTAATACCAGTAGGGCTGCGGCTACTTCTGATAAGACAAGTGAGCTATGTCATTGTCAATTTACGAACGTGAAGGAATCTGTTTTTCAATCGATAACGGTGTCTTAGGCATCAGATTTCCTTACAAAATCATATGTTATGTACAAGGACGTGCTAGATATAAGTTTACCGCAAGGACGAAAACCAATGACTATGGCGTTTCTGGTCCCTACGGCAAGGCCAAGACAAATCAAGCTCTTAAAAGGAGGAAAGCTTCACCGCAGATAATTCTCTCATTACTTAGTATCGTTTTCATTTGGTCTCATTGTGATTACCCTATCAGACTGCTCTAGATCTTGTCTTAAAGTTCGTTCAATTGCTCGATCGTAGACTCTCCAACGAGACTAAATTTAGTCGTTTTGGAAGATTCGAGGTTCCAGATTGGCTGAATGAAACGGCAGGCTGAGGTAGTATGCATCTTTATCGTGTTCGCGTTCATTGTCAATGGATTTGACCAGCAGCAAGTCGCTCTAGGAGTCTCGCTGGGCAAGGTAGACACTCATTGCTGACGGCCAGATTGGTGGCTTCCGAGCCTTGCGGCACAAAACCGTTATTCTACGGCCTTAACAGACCGAGATATGCCAGAATTAGGTCGATCACTGATGAAGCGGTGTTCGTTGGGGGCTAATGTATGGATACTGGAAATCAAATCCCACTATCGGCCAGCAGAGCCTGAACAGATTGGTTGGGTCATTCTTGCACCTGCAGGTGAGACAACCCCTCAATGCTCTCTATTTGCCTATTGGATGCCTTGCCAAAATGACACATTGAGTCTTGCTCCGCCAAGTCCCAGGACGATCTTTTTTCAAGCCACGCTGGATGCCTGGGTGACTTGAGGGAAATTTCTGGGAAGGCAATCGAACTAGACAGTCATAATTCTAGCCTTCTCGCTGCCTTGGAAAAAGCCCAGCTGGAAGAAAAAGCCAGCTGAAAGGAAAGACTCGAAGAACACCGTTTACACATCTTTAATCACTTGCTGCTCATGAAACCAAGAGCCTTAAACTTGCAAAGGATGTCCTCGAGCTGGTAGACCAAGCAAAACCTCCGAATGCTGCTTTCCTATACTTCTTGGTGTCGCAAAACGCTACACTCATAGGATACGGAACGAATTCTTTCAGCCTTTTATCCGAAAGTCTAAATCTGACTTCTTTACCAGAAGTGCGGTTTTGGGGGCCACACCGCTGCGATTCGATTCGTATTGTCTTCCGACCCGAAGTCCAGGTTGGCGATTATCATTGTCTTCTTAATATTTCAAATCATCTTTTTCGCATTGCAAATCATCGTTAATCATACGAAAATTCTGAAGGTCTTTGATAAGTGGGATCGGACCAAGTCGTGGCTAATTTTCTTGCAGTATCTTGTCTCCCCTCTATTCATTGGCATCTTGGGCATCACCTTCACAATGGTTATCTTAACAGCGAAACCAATGCAGAAGAATTGCACGAGCAGATTGCAATAATTTCTACAAATAAGTCGCCGACATCTGTGTGTTCCATTGACGCCGATTTCATCGACAGCGGCGTGGTCGGCCGTGGCATTCTTATCGCCCAATGGGCACAGTTAGCGGTCATATTTACATTCGCCGTACTCGGAACGTTCCACACGCAGGTGACGGGGGTAAAGGAGGTTGGTGCTGGTCTTACGGTAATCCATATTTCACTGGCGATTGCTCTACTTAGCCATTTCAAAGGCCTCGACCATCCAAAGACCAGTACCATACTCGGGGCCATGGTCCTCGATTCTCAAAACAGCGCGACCCTGATACAGATGGTCACAAAAGAGACTCTGGCGTCTAGATTTCAGGTCTTTGTTGTAATACCGTGCCAAGTCTTGGGTTTGGTAGTTGAGGCTATTCTCGTTCGCCACTTTCATCACCACTTCCGCAACACCTGGTCCGGGCCCGAGTATGGTAAATGTTATTGCGTCATGGTAACTTGGCGGGGTAGACTCAGCAGCTGCAGGGGCACAACTCCAAAGCTGTTGTCAGACGAGATGACCATCTTCTGGATATACTTCTCCTGCAGAGTTGTGGCCTTCATACAGAGCAGCTACCATGCGCTTAAGGACACATCCAAATTTCATTACGCAGAGATCAAAAGCAGAGAGAAGAAGTTCAAGAAAAATCTCAGAAGAAAGGAGATTGGTTTCATGGACGGTAACTCAGCACCTACAATTCATCCCGAACCGCAACGGCAGGCGAACCAGAGTGATGCTCCCAAACACTCGACCTTCCTGGGTTGGGCAAGACGACGCGAGAAGAAGCAGAATGCAGATTACGACGAATACCCAACGACACTGTCTCTTGTTTACTTTATCAATAGCGTCTTTTCTGTGGCGTCCATGGCCGCAGTCAAGACTGCTATCAAAAAGGAGAATGACATTGGATATTTAAAAAAGCCAAATTGGTCTACTGGGCAGGTGATCGCGGTCGTGGTCGCAGCGTACACTATTGTTAGGGGTATTTGGCACTTCATTCGGATTTTTCTGAAGACGGACGGCTTTAGATGCACTTGGCTTTCCATGGTTCCACAACTCGAACCACCTGTAGAAAACAAAAGCTGGAAAAGGATCTCGAGACACATCTCGAAAGAAACCGCGAAAAGGTCCATGTAACATGTTTAGTTGATTGTATTAAGGCACACAATCCATACTGCATCCATGTTGTCTGCGACATTTGTTACGGTTTCGGTGGAAAAAGGTTTGATCCTAGATTCTAGTCTCTTGGAGTGCCCAATGTTTGATGAATTGGAGCATACAGGAGGCTCACAATTGTTCTTTCCGAGCTTCTAACAATTTTCTTTTACTCCCTGGTCGAGATATTGATAGCGAATTGGTAAAAAATATTCTCTCGGTCTCAGTAGAACCTTATCCCATTGACTGCTGGCTGGCAACAGGCACATAGACCTCAGCGTATATCAGTTTTATTTCTCATACAAAAGAGGTACATGATGGTGTGCGGTAACCTCTATGTTTTACTGCTGCAATATCTCGATTCTGTAAAAATTTAGGACCTATTTCATAGTCAAAATAGATAGTGAACAGACTTACCGGTATTTTCCTTTGTTTCTTTTTTCTTTTTGGTTAACAAGACAAAGTCTTGCCTAGCTTCTTACTGGCTAATCTCTTTCACGGCTAAGTACCTGTTCTAAGACAACTGTCCCTGGAATAAACGGAATAAGAGGTTCTGTTTCTCTCTTGGATAATACGTAACAGCGCAGTCTTTGGCTGATAGAACACAGATGCCAAAAGTCGCTTTCCGCATGCATTCTTTGGGTGGCAGGCCTCGCCGGCCCGTCACGTGGGCTGACGGCCGCCACCACTGGTCTTAGCCAGCCTCCACAGCCCTCTAGCCAGTTAGTTAGTTCTTCAACCAACAACACCACTTTTCCCATTCTGAGCGTTCTGTGCCGGTTCTCGCCCACACATTCAGTGGCAAGGCGGCTGCTGGGACCATATCCTCCCAAACTCGTGGTTACAGAAGCTTTTTTAACCCTAACCCTAACCATTCGCCTTCCGTTGTCTTCTTATGACAGAACAATTAGCTCTGATATTACCTTGACTTTCTTTCTCATAGGTCTAACATGAAGCTTTTGAGGAAAGAGCGCCGCCTCTGGGTGAACCGCATGGTCGAGCGCCCATCCGTAGACGGGATAGAAGTTAGAACTGTACTTCTTTACGAATCTTTGCAATCAAAGCTATTATGTGAGTGGCACAAAACATGCTACTAACGTGGAGAAAAACGCCTAAGTTGTCTTGAGGTTTTGTTTGCAAGGTTTCATTGGTATATGTTCGGTCGAGTACTAGTTTCGCGTGCCATTGTGCTACAGACCAACGGTGAGCTATATACCTTATACACCAATTACAACCCAGTTCCAAGGCACAGAGGAGAACCTCCCTCGAGATGTATATACCTGTCAACGAAGCAAGTAGCCTTAGAAAGGTACATAGGCAACAAGATAGGAGGAACTAAAGAGAGGGAGACCGTCCGGCTTGAAGCGAAGTGAATAAGAAAAAGCCAATGAACACCACAAAGCCGGTTTTTGAAAGTTACAGACACGTATCTTATTAATGCCTATAAGCTTTATGTTAGCTCACGATTATATTCCCCCTTGCGCAGTGGCACAATCTGCTCTGGTGTCCCGAAGGCTACGTGCTTCTTTTCTTCCAACTCTCCAAATTGCAGCACCAGCCCCTTAATGTTTTGACTGAGCGGCTGCGCCCCAAAGCGCTCACCAACGACAGCCGCGTCTAGTGCTGCGTTCCTCGTCGTGCATAGAATCCTAGAAAATGACATACCGGTCGTATAGCCATTGGTAAAAATCGCCGCAACCCCAAGCCACAACATCAACACCCCAAATGCATCTAATGCACCGTACGCAATCCACAGCGGCTTTCTATTATAACTCCACCGTGCGTCGCTACTCAAAACCTCACATATCGTCTCCTGTGTCGTTCGAATGTATAAAAGTGGCTCCTCCAGTAGCGATAGCGACACGTTCCTCACTAGTTTAGTTAACCTATCCTGAAACTTCAGTCGCGGCCATTTCAGCTCCTGATAGAACTCGTTTGGGTTCTCTGGGAATCTGAGATATTCCACTAGCGACGTCGCAGAAAGCAGCGTCGATGATGACTGTCCATTACTGCGTTTAGTAAATATACTTCCATTTATATGCTGCGCTAGGACGTCTGCAAGGCTCTGGTATGCCCAGTAATTGGTCTGCGCGTAATCCATACTAAGCGAGCTATTCTCCGCAAACGTGTTAAACTCAATAGCGCCGAGAGGTTCTTCGCCTAGTATGTGATGGGTGAGTATATTATTGAGAAATCTGAATCTTACGTCGTAATTTACGTGCAATGGGGCACAGGTGAAATACTGGGCGTCATTCACACGTTCATATTCCCCCGTGGCATTTCTGTGCAATTCTTGCTGGCTGACCCAGCTAGTTAGGCTCCGGTTCGCAAAGAAGACGCCGACGAAACACCGCAACTGAATTTCGGTGGGGTTCACCAGGGCTCGAAAGGCAACATTGGCTGCCGGTGAGCCGCTGATGACTTCATTGCACCGGTAGCCGATGCCTGGAATATTTGCCGAGTATGTGCAGTTTGCCCCGCAAGGAGATGGAAAGTCAAGTGTTTTTCCACCTACAAAGACTCTTCGGATAAGCTGATTTGCGTATGGGGACGGTCCTGCATACATTCCGTTCATCGCGACAGGTTCTTGTCGTTTTGCACGTGTTGAATTCTTCCCCGACGGCAATATCGAGAATGCCGGAGACAGCGTTCGGGCTGATGTTCGAGAAGACGTTCGGGTTGATGTTCGAGAAGACGTTCGGGTTGATGTTCGAGAAGACGTTCGAGGGGATGTTTGAGAAGACGACGGAGGCAGTATCTCCGTCCAGCCTTGTTTATGGTATGTGGCTAGAACAAGCTGTGGTGTGTCGTATGACCTTTCAAATTCTTTACCAAAATCGAGGCTTGGCACCTGACATCTCTCATGCAAGGTTGTCTCAACAGTAACTACAGAAATAGAAGAAGGCGCAACGATAGCAGCAAGTGGCATGATGAAGAATAAGGCGGCAAAGATGGTAAGGGCGGGTACTTTGCGCCATAATTCTAGAGTACCTATTGCCGTTGGGTCAGAGGTAATACTGAAGCAGGCATCGAGACCAGCAACAGTGATCTGACGGCTGCGTACGAGAGACCATACTTCGGGGATGTCAGACTAATGACATTGCTGGGTGGAAGTTACGAGACTTACCAAACTGTCGGATGGAGATGCCTGCGCTGGCTGCGATAGGGGCTTTTGTGAGAAAGGCAAAGGCCGTACCATAACGGATTACCATGTCCTGGTCCTCAGCGAGCTTGCCGTCGAGAGATTTGTAATAGATGTGATGAACAGCTGCAAAGGCGAGGCCGCACAGCCAGAGGCCAATCATAGCGGTTGGCTGAAGCCAAGAGATGGAGTATTTGGCAGCCATGATGGTGCTGTTTGTCCATGAGGATATTATTCACAGTGGGGTCAGCTCGGGGTTATAAATCACCCAGGTACTAGCTCGTCAAGTATTGTGGCCAGGTGTCAAATTTTGGTTTAGCCTGCGCTATACCGTAAATGACAAACGAAACTCATGTCAAAGAGAATAACATCCAGACAACTAGCGCATGAATGATGTTCAACATTTCTATAGAAATTATCAGAAGAATTTTGCAGACGCTTTCATCCAAAAACCCCCCAACTAAATGCCATCGCACAGTTTCTCCTCAGTGCCCAGAAATGGTGGCTTGCAAGCTGAAAAAAAAGACCACCGCCACGGTCCAGAATTGATCTTGGCAAGACAAGTTGTAGATTTTACTGGCATGAATTAGTCCTTTCCGAGTAAAAGAACAAAAGAGTGAACGTTTTCCCTTAAAAGGTCCTCTTTTAGCCTCTGACAGGCTCTGCGAAGAAAACACTTATGTCTTGGGTGTTGAATACTCGGAATTGGGGGCTGAAATAGGTCCGTGGTACTAAACTATCGTGCCCTACATCAACATTCTGTAGTTACCGATCATTAGCTTTCTCTTCGTCGAGTCACTAAAAATCACCCCACCACTTTATCCAACATCAATGTGGGGAACGCATAACCCATTCACAGCAGTTGCCCTCAATGGGAGGTTTTGGGTCAAATCTAGATTAGGTGAGTTTCGAAAATCGAACTGGGAAGAGTGTTCTCTAGGCGAATGTATTACGTGATACGACTGTGAGAAATTAACATGGCTTGACTAGCTGGAACATTGCATTCAGCCAGATAGCCAGACAGAGAGGACTTCCTTACTAAATCACGATCACCCAATACACAAAGTTTACTTGAGCTTTTTCATGATGCTAGACGGCTCCAACCAAAATGATCACCGGCTTCGAATTTGGAAAGAGAAACCATTCAAGAATTAGCGCTCCGTCAGCTGGAATGAGCAAGACAAGTGGCTTGCGACAAACAAGAGTAGTGAAATTCGATTACAACTCCTCTGTGATACGTCTCTGATGCTATCGTAGGTCAAGACTTTATTTAACGTTCACGAGAGGGCAGAATTATTCTCGGAAGAGCCTAGACAACTACAATCTTCCACGGCTGTTCGGTAAACTTGCTCCAAAATGCTGCAAAGCCTTCTAAATCTCATTAATGCTTTCGAACTTTGCCGGCGTATCCTGCAAGCCACTTTGAATGTGCTGGCTGAGCACCCCAAAATGGAATCTGATCGTGTCATGAAATTGCGATCTCAACTGTGCGACAAAGTCTTTCCTGCCTCAACAGTACCAGAGGCAATTGAAATGGAGAACAATATTACCCAAGAGGACCAAGTTCACTTGGACAGTTTCGGAAGGCGTCTCACTGAGTCTGAAATCCAGGTAGAACGGTTGTCTAGTACCAAGTCTAACGTAGGATCCACGTTTTCCACACCCATCAAGTGCTGGATAGATTAGTCACAACAATGGTTGGGATTTCGAAATTCAATCAACAGGCTGAAAAATATGAAAGGTCAAGTTCTAATTTAGATGATGTCATTCGTTACCGCAATCTTCCTGTTGGACTTTATTTTATACAGCTATCGACAATTGTGAGATACTTGAGTCAACA